ATGCAGGCAGCCGCCTGGCCGGAAGCCAGGGAGCGGGGTCAGTGCCCTCCTCCCTTCTCTCCTCGATCCTGGGCAAAGCACCTTTTCCGGTTCCTTTGTCCTGGCTTAAATAGGGCAATTCGCAGAGGCGCCCTATTGGCTCAACCCCGAGGGGGATGGCAGTCTGATCTGGTGGCCAGAACTAAGCCTAACCCGGTTCCAAAACTGGGGAGGTCGCAGGGAGCAAAACCCCTCTCCTGCCACCAGAACCACCCCCCCCTCCACATCAAACCATGACAGTGATGTGCAGAATAATTCATATAGTGTACTTAGCCCAATGTTAAATATTAGAACTCTTTACAAATAAGAACAGATTATTTATTTTTTTTTACTTCCGCAGTAGGCACACTATCAGTTTTAGGCAGTTTTTCATTTTGTAGCATTTTCTTAAGGTGAATTATACCTCCTCCTTCCCTTTTTTGGTAATTAAACCCACACAGCAATCAAGTCTAAAAGTTAGAATACGTTTGCCGAGCATAGGACTTTGCCCTACTTTTGCCTTTCCAGTGATTCTGTTAATTTACTTGATGATTTTTTTTTCCTCTCTGGTAACATTTATTTCTTTTGGTGTTAGAGAAAGACGATGTGTGCATCTTCCAAGAGGTCACAGTACTGAATCCTGGACAGTCAGTGATCCAGTACTTGGACGGAGACCTTTGTTACACTGTACAGTGTTTACAAGAAAAAGATCAGAACACAGGATACAATGCCATGCATTTTACAATGGTGAACTGTTCCCAGAAATGTGAAGCTGTGAGTATTCTTAAAATACAGGAATGATGCAATTTGTAAGCACAACTACACAATTAGGATAAACATCAAAGTAAGACTTTTGCCAAGTCCTGTTTGCTCAGTAAGAGCTTGAGAACTTAAGAGTGATGATGTATATCTTGTGTCTCCAGGATTATTTTGAGAGGCAATTTCTGGCAGCATATGTAAACATATCCATCCATCCATCCATATATAATTTCTCTTGGTATTTTTAGTTTCAGAAATCAATGAATTTGATTCCATACACTGTATGTTTTAAAAATACTTTTTTTTTTCTTTTTTTGCTTTCCTTTCTTTCCAGCATCAAATATATATTCCTTCCTCCAGTCACCATACTTGTTGTGGTACCTGTCAAAATGTGTCCTGCTCTTTTCATACTGAGAACGGAACACTTGTTGTGTATGAGGTAAGTGCCTCTGGACAGAGATGGAAAATAACTATCACGATATGATAAACAGATATCTGACAGTCACTTCTTAGTTCACTCATGCTGTGAGTCTTGCTTCACACCACCTTACTGCTGGTTATGCACCTAGGGGCTCTTTATGGTACATGATAGGAAAATTGTGTTTATTTAAAGGCCTGCCATTTCACACTAGGTGAATACCTTATTTCATTTTATTGGTTGTAATATTATCTACAAAGGTATGCAAATATCATTTACTTAAGGCTGGATATGCTCTAAGTGCAGAGTAAGGTTCAAATTGTAACTCTAAGTCATAGACTGTGATTTAGATGAGTTGGGAGCTCCTGAGTCCACATCAGGACTCCTATGTCCTCCTCTTCCCAGGGCTACTTTTCTCCTCATTCTGGTTTCTACAGAAAAGAAGTGTGCAAAGTGAAGGACTGGGGTTCAGGTTCCTGATGGTGTGTTCCAGCATCTGCATACAAGGAAATTTAGATGTGGCCATGACTTGGTTCATGCTTCCCATTGCTTTTGGAGCAAAAGAAACTATCAGATTTTTTTTTGTGGCACAGAACCCTTTTGTTCTGCACTAGGACACCCACACTAAGCAGCACGCTGGAGAGTAGAGCCATGGCTCCAGCGAGGAGTTGCCACTGGTAGTCAGAGGATGGTCTTTCCCTTTGCCACCTATGGGTGGTCTGCAACAAACTTTTCACTCCTGTAGATACTACAGCATGAGGGCACCACTTATACAGACATTTGGTGTTGGAGGTAAAGCTGAAATGTTTTGTCTTTCCTGACAACGGCTTTCTTTTATATATTCAGGAAGGAAGCACCTGGAGCTCTAACTGCACCAACTACAAGTGTGCCAAGACTGCTGCAGGGGCTGTCTTACTGGGATCAAGTGTTGTCTGCCCCCCTTTTAATGACACCGAGTGTACAAAGGTTTGTACTTTGGGTGAGGTAAGTGACAATAACTGATCTGGAGTCTGGCTTACGCTTGACGATGCATACAGATCTCATGCGCTTCCTTTAAATTAAAAAAGTGGTAAGTAAAAACATGTAAGCAAGGAATTTGTTTTCTATGTTCCTGTTTGCTTTTGGACTGACAAAATATCTGAGGTGTATGAAAATTTGTTTTGAGTCTTAATGATGACTGCTTTTAAAATATTGTGGAATTGGAATCATGCTTTACATGCTACTATATAAAGTCCTAATCACCATGTCTTACTTTAGTTTGGAATAACATTCTGCCAAGTTTGTAGGGCACATACACTAAATAAATTGGATCAAGCAATTCTGAAATGCTGCATATAAAAGTGGGCTATATTAAAAATTCCTTAAGTTGTGTGAAGATCAGAAAGTTGGCAGAGTATATATAAACTTTATTGTCTCTTAAACTAAACTTTGTGTAACATAACAAAAAATACCTAACATACATAAAAGGGTATCTACCTACATCATATATCTAAAAATGTAAATTTGGCATACCCATATAAACTGGTTTGAAGAATGTGGATGCTTCATGTATATTACATATTTGTTTACAACTTAATTTCTAATTTAATACTTCTCTAACTTTATAATGCTTTCTATAATCCTTGCACTTGCAGTACACCATATATTTAATATACGCTACAAATAATAATAAAATAAATATGCATGTAGAGAGGGTAAGTACCATTGCTGCCTTGACTACAGATTTTAAATTTAGTACGAGTCCTACTTAGACATTGCATTTATTTTAAAAAGTCCTTATTTCTTCCAACCCTGAAGAAGGGATTCTATCTAAAATTAATGCCTGTTCTACTTTGACTTTAAGCTCAAGCTTCTTCCTTGGAACCCTTCTGTCACCATGTATTAGGATCTTTCCTTAGTAATAATGGTTAAGATTTTAAAGAGCGGAGCCCTAAAATTAACTTGCTGAATCAGTCTGACCCGTTTTTCAGAGATGTTGAGTGTAGACTTGAGCCAGTAGCTGAGGAGAAAGCGCTTCTGACAGGCAGCTCAGGATAATTTAGGAATATAGATTTAAGAGGCTCATTTAAGAAGTTCTTGAACAACTTATTCAGTAATTTTTCTGTAATGAGATAAAAATGCATGCTAGCATGAAAAGATGGAAGCTTAAAAATGTCTTTTGTCTGTTGCTATTGTCAGAGTGCTCTTTATGTTCAGTTGTCTCCTTGATACGCGATTCTGGGCTATGCACTAAAATTGTGGGCACATGTTTCTTGCTTGCACCCATTCTGACACATTCTGACAGTGTCTCTCTCTGTCTCTCTCTCCCTTTCTTGCTCTCCTTTAATTTCAAAAGACGGTTTCTTCGCTTTCATACATTCTTACTTTCTAGCTAACAAGCAACTTTAGCAGAAAACAGTAACAAAGACTATGATTGAGCACACTAATGGTTCTGAAATTCTGCAGTTAATGTTCTCTTTCAAAAGTGTGTATAAATACACATATATTTAATGTTATAAAGAGCTACTTGGTATTAATTTTCTCCTTGGCGTGTGATCAGTGAAAATCCTTTTGCATCATCAGCAAAGTTGCATATGTGAATTTTTAAACTGTCCTAATAAATCTTAGTGGTGGGGAATGGTAGTGGATGATACAAGAAGATTCTTGTAGAAACTAAGTGGCTTATTCAAAGGAGACTAGATCAGACCAGAAAGGCAGTGACCAGTTCACTTTCAATGTCAAAGGTTGTCAAGAATTTGTGAAAAAAACCTTCCGCTGATACGTATCTGTGTAATTCTCTTGATTTCAGTGACACTATTTTTTATTAGTTGGACATGTTTAAAACATGGAATGTCTTGAGATAAAATTCCCCTTCATTGGGCATAGTCTTTTTTGATATATTCTCCTTTTATTTTCCTAGAATGGAGGAATCGTGCAGACGTATAACGACGGCTGCTGCAAGACCTGTAAGTGACGAAGGCTGCAATATGTGCTAGTTTGGCTTTGGTTTTGGAGAATGTGGGTTTTAACCTCAGTTGCTGGGACATAAAGAAGGAAAAAGCATGCATTTCCCCCACAAATCACATAAAATTGTTATAGCTACCTAACAACTCCTATTAAAAGGTCTTGCTTCATTTGGCTGCTGACTTGGTGATTTTTAACACTATTGTTCTGGAGTATAACTAAATCTCTCCAAATATAAGCTACAGAAGATGGAAAGTTATCATCTCAAGTAAAATAATGAAAACATTCTCTTTATTGCTAAGCTGACTCTAAAATATTGCCTATATGATTTTCATCATAAAAGATAAGGATTTTCCCTTCTAAAATTGATTCCTAAGTCGATGACATTTTAAAATACGTCTCCAAATTTACCAATTTATTCTATATCACTAGTATGTATTATTCTAGAGCCAAAATACTGGAATAATTCATTTTAAAAAAAAATATCAAATGAGGAAAAGTTATAATAATACTGATGTTAGCAACCCTTACATAAAATTAACTAATATCTGGGAATACATTTACATTTTCTGAGTGTGTAACTTTAAAATATGATGAATTGTGGTGCAAGCTTATAGAAAGGTCTTGTAATTTCTGCAATCTTAAGAGTTGATTGAGAACAAACTGATTTTCTTTACAGTTTTGTCTAGGAAAGGTTTTATTACCCAGATAGAGAATTATTTATACATAAAAATAAAACACTGTTGTGTAGCACTAATTGTGTAGAGCAAGAACGTGTTGAATGCCACAGAAAATCCTCCCCCTCATTTTGTCCTTTTTTATGTTTAACATTAGAGTTAAAATATATAAGCAAATTTGTCCCTGGATTTTTTTCAGACAAACCTTTACTTAACAATATTGAATAGAAAGTCAGAGACTTATAACCATATATTGCACAGTTATTAAGTAAAATTCAGAAGTGCAATGTATTGTAAATAATTTAGTGACATAAGGGGAAATATTTGTATTTATCAAATACCGAACAATACTCAAATTTCCAAGCAATGCAAAGCTTTGAAAGTGAACTGCAAGTATTGTTGTTCTATTCTATCCAAAACATAGAAAATAAAAGCTATTTTAATACAAATGAATACTTTCTGTTTTAATGAGAATCAGCATAGAAAAGTAACACATCAGTATTATGCTAAAATCTTACTAATCAATATTCCTTCTGTAATGAGATAAGCTATGTTGAAAAATATTTAGCTATCCCCTCAAATTAGGTTGACTTTATTCACAGAATTAGTCTAAAGAATTAATGGCTACTGGTTTTCTGTTGACCAGGAAAATTTAGAATTTTGGCCGTATTCTATGGCCTCAGGAAAGGCATTGTTATACTTCAGAAATACTTGCTGAGGTGGCTGCTAAAAACCCAGATGTAATTCATACAATTATATGCTATTTCATTTTTATTTTGTTTTACTTTTAACTAAAAGCATGTGCCCTGTGGTGAAGCAGTTAAAAAGAGTACTTATAAATAGAGCTTGCAACATCTTGGGATTTTAATGGGAATAATCTTTCCAAAAGAGCTTGATTCAATGCATGCAAAGTGAGTGCAAATATTTAATTCTTACCTTGCCATAGAGAGATTCATTGCAAAAGTTTGATTTACAAAAAAGCGTCATTCCAGTTTTGTGTTAACCAGGAGAGTAATAAAGTTTAGGCCATCTTTAGTGACACTTAAAACAGCTGCAGAGTTTCTAAATTTGGAAGACTAACAGGAAAGCTCATCATCTTTTGCTGAAAGAAAAATTGCAGTTGGCAGTGTAAGAATTAATTAAATGTCATTTATATAAAAATGTTTTTATTTAATGAGAAACTTATATTCCTAATGATTCTGCCAGGTTCTGGATTGGGTCTATTACCCTTTGCCATTAGTCCAGTAGTGCCTACTGATAGTATTAATTGTGAACCAGGTATTATTTTTAATGATGTATTTTCTTTTTTTAATAATAGTGTAAGCACTGCTTGATACACTTGTATAGCTGTCATCACCATTAAATGTTACCATGCAGTTAATGGTGCTGGGCCTGATACTGAGAGATGCTGATCCCCTGTTGGCCTCCCAAATCAGTGATTTCTGAAGCCTGGTTAGGATTCACTGCTCAGCACCTGTCAGAATTAGGTTCATCCATTTATGGTATATGCTGCTGATGGTTCTTCGTCCTGTTTGTTTCTGAAATTGGTTTTAATACGTGAACTTACTGTACAGGGTAGTTGTAAGGAGAAATGTCACTGCAAAAAGTATCCTTATCCTGAATACTGCTACCAAGAGATTCTAAATCTGATCCCAGGTCTTTGAATTTAATGACTGAACTGTTTCTGCCTCACAATACAGCAAGAGCGTGCATTACTGCCCAGTCTCACCTTTGCAGATATGGATTTATGCTGTATTGCTTCTTTGTCACAAATAGCATGTTTTATAAAGTTATGAAAATGTCGTGGGGGTGGGAGGGAACATACAGTTACAATCACACGTTAATAAATACTCTTTACACCAAAAATTACAGAATGTTACACAACTATTGCATTATGATCATAAATCTTTGCTTTTAAGGATAGCTGAGTCATAGAAACTCCTTACTCAAATAAGGAGTGAGTAAAAAAAGCACATCTGATATTGAATGCAGATCTTCTTGACAGTTGAAGGTGGAAGAGAGAAAAGTACAGCAGCAGAGTTTTCATTAGACATCAGCACCTTATACTCTGAAATGTCATATATCTCTCTATATAGACTTGTAGAAGTAGAAGGATTGCGTTGTGTACGTATATTCAGGCTGGCAAGCACCTTCTGATGGAAATATCACAGGACTCCTTTCCCTTAAGTGTTGCTGAAGAAGGAAAACCAAGATGCTGTAATCTAACAGCTTCGATCGTACAGTGACCGTGCAGTACTACTGCTAGTTCAGTAACAGAATATTGTTTGATCCTCCAATCTGCAGATTAAAATCTATCAGTACTCTGCAGCGAGCCTAATTTTTAGAAACATGCTGAATCTATGGTTGCAAAATATCTTGATTACTCAGAGCTCTTTAGTCTTATAAAAGTACTCACAAGGCTTCTGCAGGACAGAAAAGCTGTTCTCCCTGTGTACACCCAAAGATGAAGGCATGCGCTGAAGGTGGAGAGACTGCTGAATAGAGCTTATTATTTTGTATGCTGAATATATATCCAGAACATTTGCATAGCAAAACTAATAGATGATTGTGGTGGGTAGTGAAACAGGAGATCTAAATAATTGTTGTTAAACAAACAGTACTAACAAACAGTCAGATGTGGAGTGCAGCATGAAAAATTGTACGTGTAATTGTTTCCGTATTAGATTATGATTTTTATTATGCTAAAAATGGCTTTGAACTGTACAGCTTTATGTTTCAAAGTAAAGAAAAAAATATCCTATAAATATCTCCCAGAATGTACTGAAAAACGTAGGGTTTCCCTAATCCTAGAGCCATATGCTGACTCAGTGCTACATGCTTCAGTTCTGGTTGTAAAAACTGCACCATATTCAGCAAATATATGCAAATTTCCCTTTAAAAACTTCCTTGAAGGATATCTTTCTCAGAAAGATGTTGAAATTATATAGTTCTATTTAAATTTTAAATGTTCAGAATAGCATCAAGGTTGTAACCACATTCACAGCTTTACCTTCTCAAATGTCAAGTTCTGAAAATTTTCTAAAATGCAGAATCAAAAGCTTACTTACATTCAGTATTCCTATTAAAACCAGAATGAATTCTAATCCTATTCAAAACTACTTAAGGCATCTTTTTTCTAATTGCTTATATTTGCCTTGCCATACGTACAATTTAAAATGATGTTGATATTTTCATATTTATAAAATCTATATCGTTTAATGGACCAATAGATGCTTCATATGCGCCAGCTATAGAATCTATAATTCTGCACAGGAAGTATTTATTAATATATGAGATTTTTTTTCTTAAAAAAGTTTTTAATTATGGAAGCAATAGTACATTAATGAAAACAAAGTATAATTATTAAAAATATTTTAATAATTTCACTTTTTTAGTAGCAAATACAGTACAAAAAGGGTATTGATTCAGTATGCATTTTCTGTATTTTATCAGGCAAAAAGGAAGAAAGGATTTGTCAGAAAATGACAATCAGGACAACCATAAGAAAAAATGACTGTATAAGTCAAAGCCCGGTAAGCACAAAAGGCCTGTGTTTCATGCTGGGCCGATGGCATACCAAATCAAGTATTAAGAATTGAGTTGTAGCTACCAAGAAGCAACCAAAAATGCTGCTATCTTCTCAAAAGCAGACCTTTGACCCTAGGAATGTTATCTTACTCATAAATGGAGTAAAATTAGCTGTTGCTATGGCTGAAAGACTGAGCCCTCCTACCTGAAGAAACATCTGGCTTCGAATGAAAAGTACACAGCGTAACTGCTTGTAACTAACAAAGGCATTGGACTCCTCACCATGAAATAACATCCCACTCTAAAAGAGGAGTAGAAATGCTTTCACTCAGGATGTGATGGAAACACTGCTGCATTCCTCCTTGAAGACCTTTACTCTCTGGGTGTCTTCTCCTCCACATAGCATGTGTCTCCATGTCATAAATTCACGATCCTGTTTATTTATGGGTCTGCTTAAGACTTCTTATTTCTCGGCTTTGGTGTAGCCTCATCTGTAAACCCCACAACATGTCTGAGCCGCATACGTGCCTCTTATGTTGTACTTAAAGGAGAAGCAGTCGACACAATATCTTGAGATTTCCAGAAGGTCTCTGGTAAGATTCTGTTAAAGAACCTAAACAGTCCTAAGGGAAGAGGCAAAATATCATCACAGATTGAAAGCTGAGCAGGTTAATTTCCATCCTGATAGAAAGTCAACAGTGACATGCCCAAAGTTTAACAGTAAAAGTAAGAGTGTGTTGTGTATTTATTTTGTTTTAGAAGGGTTGGCAATGAGGGAATATAAATATGTATATGAAATAACAGTTATTTGCCATAGTTAAGAGCAGAGAGGATTGTGGAGAGCTTCACAGTTACTTCAACAACCTAGATTAAGGGACAGCACTATGACAAAACAAAGACACGGTCTTGATTAAAGCAAAAAATATTAAAAAGAAAGATTTAGTCAAACCCCTTGGGTTTTTAAACTAGCTGAAAAGGACTTTGGCCTTGAAACGAGTTCTGTGAAAATCTCTATTAAGTTCTCCCTTGCAGACAGAAAGACTAGGAGTAGTGACATTTAGGGAATAGGATAAGGAGTGGAAACAAACTCGTTCTAGAGGCTCTTACGAGGCAACAGTGCAGTACTGTTGAGGGTGTTCTGTGCAGTTCTGTTCCCTCTAGATTTCTGCAGAACTAGACAGGGTTCAAAGAGGAGCAATGAGAACACTGGCCACAAATGGCACAACAAATGAAGCCTTCCTTTTTATGACTTTATATTGTAGATTCTGTATCTTTCTTTCCTTCTCTACCCACCTTTTAAAAAGACCTATCCCCATCCCACCTCCATCTGTACTTTGAACCCTTTTCCCCAGTATCTTCTTGTTCCCCGTTTCCCTGATTGCGGCCCACCCTTCCCACAGTCTAAGATCCCCTTACTCTTCACACAGAAGTACCTCCGGATCTTCATTTTCTCAAAATGTCTATTCACCTCCCTAGCTCCACTTCCTTTCCCCTCCAGCCCCCTCACTACAAAACCCCTGGCACTCTACTTCAAAATATTTGTTTCAGCCCATCAAAGGCCGAAAGTATCAATTTCTTTTCTGTCAGAGAATCAGCTAAGACGACTCTTCACATAACGTAATAGTGAGAGAAAGCTTAGCTCTGCTGATGTATAAAGCACAAATAATTTTATAGCCGGTCTCTGCCCGTGCTGGTTTGTTCCTGCCTCTACGTTCTGGATATATTTGTTACAGTGATAACACAGCTAATATTGGTGTGCCCCTAGTCACAAGCAGTATGAATAAGAAAGGGAAAAGCTTTTGCACTGATACGCTTTTCCTCTTGAACCTTCAGGGAGAAGGATAGATTTTCCTTTGTTTTGCTCAGAAGAATTTAACTTCTCAGCAGTGAACATGAAAAGAACATGAATTTATCTGTGCTGTTTGGAAGTTATTAACTTGTACACCAGGGATTTGATTTTGGTATCCACAGGACAACATTTTGCTTACGGTTAAGACAGAATACATGATTAAACAACAACAAAAAATATTTAATTAAATTATTAAAAATGTGTCTACACTTAAAATGAATAAGTTTTAGAACATAAAATAATTTTAAAGATGAGAATCTTTTTCAAATGTAAAAATGGAGTTTAATCACAAAGAAGTTTGAAATGTAGTATCTTTGTAACAAAATCTGAGATATCTAACTTCAGTTCTTCTTTTACTCATAGATAAATGTGGCTTCTTGTGATGGAAAATGCCCATCTGCAACAATTTTCAATGTCAATATTGATAGCCATTTAAGATTCTGTAAATGTTGTCGAGAAAATGGAACCCGTAATCTGACTGTGCCACTACGTTGCTCAGGAAATGGCACTGAAATTATGTACGTCATTCAAGAGCCTATAGACTGCTCATGCCAATGGAACTGAACGTTACTGTGGATACGATTTAATCTGAAGACTTCAAACAAGTTTCCTTTCACTAGACTCTGTTTTTTGACCTTGGAGGACTACAGTAACTCTGCAGGGAAAAAAAAAAAAATTGTCCTCAGTTACACTTTATAATGTAACTTTTCACAAATTTAGTAAAGATGATATTGTTCATTGTTCTTCAACTTTTCTTTTTAAATATTGGCATGCATAGAAAGAAAAATATAAATAGTTTTGAACACAGTATAATTTAGCCATCATTTATTTCTACTCAGTGGCTTTTGGATGAGCTGTTGAAAGCCGGTTAATGTCCATGTTTCCAGTGTGTTAAAATTTTGGATTATGGCAACCTATCAAAGTTCAGAATTTCTCTGTAGTTCTTTTCCTTTTACCTAGAAACTTTCAGTTAAGAACTCTCACTGGTCTCATGTTTAAATGTGAAAGAAGCATATAAGGGTTTTGAGAATAACTGAATTAATTTATTAAAAAAATAGTGGGTTCAACCGAAACATGCTTTGTCTTGCGGAAAGGTCCATCTTTCCTCTATTAAGCTGTTGTCAATGACTGGACTCTGCTTACACTGTAAGTCACTGAAGAACATGACGACTGTGGTCTGTAAGTACCTGAAGTAAATATCCAGAGCATATAGTAGAATCATAATAATGGCTCTAAACCTTTGACATTTATTTAAGTTTGATATATATTATAAATATGAAGCATGGCTAGGCAAAGGCTGAAGAGTTCAAGCTTTTGCACCTTTATTAAAAAGATCTAAAAGCTGTTTCTGATATGAAAGATTCTATTTTATATGCATTTTACAGTTTTCACAAGTAAGAAATTGGCCACCTACTAGCTGTAGAATAAAATTCTATGTGTGTATATACATATTTATTAAAAAAACAGGGTACTGCACATTTTAACTATTCATAATGGGTTTCTTCCTTTGTTTTCCAGTTTGAAGATTTGTGTTCAGTATATTTTTATAAAACACATAAAAATAGTTAGTTGGGTTGTTTGGGTTTTTTTTTTTTTAAATATTGAGATTTGGACTATTGACTGAATTTAAGACTCATAATTTTTCAGTCTAGGAAAAAAATCCAGGTAAAATGTATGTTTCAAAGGGTTTATGTGAGCTATTGATGTTTAATCAGGCTGTGAATGTCCATGATTGAGCACCTTAAGCCAAATATGCTCTCCCTTTTATTAAACTTACTATATAATCTTATCTTAAAAACTAAGGATACAATTTTAGGCTTGCTTTTAGAAGATGACTTTGCTTTATAAACTCACTGAATGAAACTGGTTTAAATGATGACAGTGGGAGTTTTGCCATTGACCTTGGTGTGACCAGTATTTTCCTTATCATGGAAATTGTTTCAGAATTAAAAATCTTGTCTAAAAGTCTGAAACTTTTGGACAAATAGTTTTTATTTCAAGCTGTCATCATTTAATTACAAGGTTGGATTATCACATTTGTTTATACAATGAAAATAAGCAATATAAAATTGAAAAAACTTAAAATCCAAGGCTATTTTGCTACTTTGTGTGACAAAGCTTTAAACTTTTGCTGTGTTCATTTTGATGGCTTACAAAAAAAAAAAGTAGCATATACAGTGAAATCTGTCTTTACTATTAAGACTGTCATCTACTCATCCATCTCCTTAAAAATAGAAACTTGGTTTAAAAATTAAAGAATAATCCATTGTATTATCAGCAGAATGTTTAACCATTATAAAGAAATAGCCATCACGTAGTGATCAAAATAAAGTGCTGTTCTGAGAAAACATATGCTTTGTTTCCATGTTTTTATTCGTATGGCAGATATTTCAAGCTGTTATATAGCAGGGCCTACAACTAAAATATTCTCTGATATTGCTGTTGGAATATGTATACAGAAACTTTTCCTGCTGGCCAGAAATGGAAATTAAATCATAGTCATAGCTGTACAGTTTGTGTACTCATACAGCAAATTAAAAGGACAACTTTTAGAAGAATAATACATCTTTAGAGTCTTTTGATTAATTAACACAGACATAAGAATCCTATATTTGCATCAAGAAAGTTTGGCCCAAAACTTCTTAATGAATTTAGCATTTGATAAATTACTTAAGGAAGCTCCTACAAGACAGCATTTTTCCATATAATAATCGAACGTTCGATGTGCTTTGATTGAACAGCTGTGCTTTTTATAAGCAATGTGCTTTTTTAAGATTTAGAGCTGTATTTGTAATTACAGAGAAATTAATTAACATTGTTTTGCTGAATGCTATTAAATCAGTGTTGATAAAATTAATTTACCTGTGCCACTAAACCTGAATGATAATGCAATATCTTAGTCAAACATGGAAATTAAAAGCAGTTATGGTTAAAAATAACCCCATAACTACCTGTAATAGGAAAAATGATATTAAAAGATCTTTTTCCTACTTACCCAATTTGGGGTTTTTTATGTACAACAACCAATAGGAACTGTGTCAGGATCCTTCCTGAAGCCTACAGCAAAATCTTACATCTTCAGTGGAGCTGGATATGGTCTAAGATTGCCTTCCATTTTACAGTTAAACTTCAAATTCAGATTATTTTGGCCTGGTCAGAAAGTGAACATCTATTAAAACTTGTAAACTATTTTCTGGACAGCCATCTCACCCCCATTACCTCCATGAAGGTGGTACTGGCATAGAATCATAGAATCATAGAATCATAGAATGGTTAGGGTTGGAAGGGACCTTAAAGATCATCTAGTTCCAACCCCCCTGCCATGGGCAGGGACACTCTCCACTACACCAGTTTGCTGAAAGCCTCATCCAAGCTGGCCTTGAACGCTTCTAGGGATGGGGCATCCACAACTTCTCTAGGCAACCTGTTCCAGGGCCTCACCACCCTCAGAGTGAAGAATTTCTTCCTTATATCTAATCTAAATCTCCCCTCTTTCAGTTTAAATCCATTGCCCCTTGTCCTATCACTGCACGCCCTTGTAAAAAGTCCCTCTCCAGCTTTCCTGTAGGCCCCCTCTTAGTACTGGAAGGCTGCTATAAGATCACCCCGGAGCATGATGTGGTATGTTACACGACATAAACGAGCCCTCGCAGGTCTCACAATGAGTAGCTTTGAATGAGCCCTCAGTGTGGCAGGCCTGTTCTGCCACAAATATTTCCTCAGTCTGTAACTGAAATATGAACGTAGGTGCAGTTCATGGCTCTGTCTTGGTTTCCTCATTTCTCCTCAACTCTGTGTTCCTGCCTCAACCTCCAGTCTCGAATTGTGCGTAACCCTGTTTGTGCAGGCATCTGCCAGCTGGTTTGGAAAGCAGCTCCAACGCAAACCTAACCTAGTTAAATACCAAAATTAATTAGTTTGTTGATTATTGACTAAAAGAGCATTAATACCCACAGAGTTCCTTCCCTTCTACCTCCCTGCAACTAAGACTCGAATAATTTCTACTCCCCTACAAGAAGGGCTGGGAATGCATGCCTCTCTCCAACTCCCACGCTGCCACCAGAAAATGTGAGGAACTGGGGAGAAGGGGTGTGCAGGACCGAGCGCACGCCTTACGCTGCAGTCCCGCCGTGCCCCCTCATTTTCCCCCATTCGTAGCTGGTTACATCTGTCCTTCGTTCCTACATTTCCACTGCTCTGTTCTCCTACTTGTGCTTGCAAAAGGAATTCCACGATATAAAGGCTTACCCATAAAACTATGCAGATTTTTTTTAGTGATTAATGTAAATCTATCTCTATACTTAGAATCAGATTGTAACTGAGTACACCTCTATAAAATAGTAAGGCTTTGGCCATATTATTTATAATATTTGACTTCTATAATTCTCTTGCCCTATTACTAGGTCATTTCTCAAGACCAATTCTTACCCCGATATGCAATCAGAATTTGAAGCACAGCTTTTAATATTGGGTTTAAGCCACTTACTCTGTGTTTTCACTAATAAAAGCCAAGACCAAGAGTACAGCTACGCAGGCAGCTAATACTCTCATTTTTAGCTAGCCAAATCTGTATGCTAAAAATCCAAAGTAAAACTTAATACATTTGCATGATTTATTACTTTTCCACACTGCAGGCAGGTATCTTCCCAAATACATGCACCTGTCTATTAGTAAAAAAATATCTGCACTGAGGTCTTTGTTACTAGTTTCTACCGAGAGCAGGATCAGGCCTGAAGTATGTTGTTTGAACAGAGTTACAAGCCACAGAATATACGAGAAGGTGGAGGTGCTTGCAAGAACACACTCCAGGATGACAAATGGTCACTGTGCACTTCAGTGCTTAAGCAGTCACAAAACAGTGCTTCAGCTGTGGCTCCTTTCCCCGTTCTTTTGCACTCTTGTTTTTCCCGACACAAATTCATTTTTTTTTTTCTCTTGACCTTCTGCACTGCTGATAAACTAACTCATCTTACAGAGCCTGGATCTTTTTTTTTTTTTTAAAAAACCCAAAACACTTATGCATTAGTTCTGTATAGCTCTTTCCATCCCTTTTTCTTCCGTCTCTCCTTTTATAAGAATTTAAACGATAAATTGAATTTCCAAATATTACAGAGGTTCATCTTTGTGTAAAAACTTACTGCCAAATAAATGTGTAGGTACCAATTGGGAATACTGTGGCAGTGGGAAACATTGACTTGAACTAATTTTTTCCAAGTTCCGTCCCATCGAATCCTTTTCCAGAGGTTACCTTGAGGTTATGCTGCTGATGAAATTGTGTTCGGGTGTATGTCCTACAGAAAAATCCCAAAGACATGTTCTAGTACAGAGGACAAAACATAAATGAGTTGTCACACATAACCACAGCAATACAGCGATTGTGGAGGGGCAGCATGAAGGCCAGAACATCTGCAAAAAAATTTTATAGTTACAGTGGGATATTGGTACTATACTTCCTACAGTAGGTTGGATTTCATGCTCCCAACCATTCTGGGGAATATATTTTCAAAAAACATTCATGAGGTGCATGTAAAAGATCTTTTCAGAAATAGATTTTCAGCACTGAA